CATATTTGACTGTAGTCACAGCGAAGATGGTGTCCTCTGTTGACAATACATCATTATATAGAGAAAGTCTTGTTCTACTTATCTACAGATATATCGTTTGTGGTTTAAAACTTTATAAATGCCTTTGAGAAAAAAAAGAAGATTAGAATTTCATAGATTATTGTTTTTATTTTAGATCCAATATGGTTAATTGCTAGTGTTGAAGAAGGTGGATTAATGGGTATAACTCAACAACTTGAACAATGTCATTCACTTGGTATGAATGTTAATTATCCACAACAGATGAGCAATCAAGTAGGTGGTGTGCCATCATCAAATAATTTATTTTATCAAACATCTTCTACAAATCCATTTCAAAATACGAGATGTAAATGAAATACCTTTTTTCTTTAACAATGATTTATTAGGAAAGAAAAATTCATTACATTTTTTTTCTGTAGGGCCTACGTCAGATGCTAGTAATGCAGCTGGCTGGACGAATTATCCAATTGTACCTGTTACAGTAAGTTTGATAAAATAAAATAAACAAAAGCAATAAAAATTGAGATAATAAATATTATAGGAATATTCTCGAACGAGCAATATTAATCATCAACCATCGGATCCGTCATCATCATCAAATGGAATGGTTGATGATAATTCTTTAGACACATATTAACTGAATAAAAGTTCATCTATTGTTGTGCTAGTCGAAACCGAGTGCGTGTTTACAATTGAAAAAAAAGAAAAATTCTTTATCTTTGTCTTTTTTTTTCTTTTTGATATTTTGTTAAAAAAATTTGACCATCATTAACACAGAGAGATTTATTCATATTTTTGTTTACTATTTTCCTTTTTCGGTTCTTATAAATATATGTTTGATGAGAAAAAAATGTGACCAACTAATTATGTAGATAGAAATTCGTCTATTGACAAGTAAACATTGAATTTTTTTTCTCTTTTTGTTGCAACAAAAAACTGTTTATTGATTGCTTTCTTTCTTTCTTTCTTTTTTTTCTTTCGCTTCTTCTTCTTCTTTTTTTTATATACATATATTACAAACTCGCATTCAAACAGACACAGTTACAACGATAGATGTTTCTTTTTCTTTTTTTTCTTTTTTTCATTTTTTTTTGCTGTTGTTTTCTATTTGATAATACTGTATATTCAAGATGAACTATCCGAAGAATTTAAACAAAATTTCAACTAGTTAATCAAAAGAATTGGTGTTCATGTTAGTTTGGTAGCAAATAATTGGTTATTTGCTTGGTTTTCGGGGAAGAAGAATGTTTTGATTTTTAAACCTCCACGTTAAAAACGCATATTTGCTCCAGAACCACCACTGTATCTAAAATTTTTAAGAGATCTATTTCCAGATCTAGAAGACCCGTAGTAAAAATTCCAGCTCAAAATATTGAATTGTTCAATACTAAAAGTCAAAAACATAGGCCTCAGCATGTTCCACATTTAGAAGTGTAAGCCGCTGTCGCCAGTTTTTGAAGAAAATTTCCAGGCATGAAAGATTACTGGGATTGATCAGCTCTCATCCTCAGCTAAGTGACTGTCTTGAGCCTAAACCCTTCCGTTTGATAATAAAGTGTATCACGGACTCTATAGAAATAGTCGAAAAGATCCTGAAAAAAAAAACTTCTGGAAAATTCATACGAAGAATGTGAGGGAGTATTCTTGCTAGTTATATCCTCTGTGTTACAGATCTAAAGAGGAGCTTATAAGACTTTAATAACTGAGGCTCGAATATCATCCTTTATATTAGAAGTTTTTCAGGAAAACTTCTGTAACATCCGCAAATACCATTGTCAAACTAATGAATGATAGTGCATTCGAAACTAGAAAACTTTGGAAGTGAAATAGGATAATCTTTCAAAAGATAATGTTCAATATATAATTGACCTATATTATGGAATTTCTAGGAAATGCAAGTCGTCTTACCAGAATAGAATGATTTGAATTGCATGGGAGATCATCCTCCAAAGACATTCGAAGACAACGAAGTTTCGATAGCATTTTTAAAAGAATCTCTTAGAATAATTCGATAGTGTCTCATTTTTAAATGAATGAAATACATGCATTATAAAATGTGTGTTATGCTTTTTTTTTTTGTCTAATATGTAATCATGACGTGGGATGTATTCGACGTTTCACTCTTGTCGAAATTTCGACTCTTCAAAAGCGGCAAAACCTAGTAAAAAGAATTCTGTCAAGATATAATAA